TCAAAATATATAAATAAAAGTATATAGGAAATACATTATGATTAGAAATTCTATAACAGAGTCTGGCCAAGAGCAATTTTGTAAAAACAAGAGTGAAAAAGAAGAGTAATGTACTGTCTCTTTTTATACATATCTTCTCATTCTAACTTACATATACGACCTTACTCATTCTCTAACTTACATAAACGACCTTACTCATTCCGACTTACTGAAGTTGACAAAAACGACAGGCCAATCAAAAATGTCATTTTGTGACCAGACTTTGTTGTGGGATCTTTAATTATGATGATATCTGTCTCTTGAATTATACAGATATATATTGGCCTAAACTTTTCAAGGTTATAAAGTTATTTGGAAAGCTGTGCAATCACAAGCACATGTATAATTCATTGATAATATGTATGAGACACAATCAACCAAGAATTTTAAGCAGTAGCACAAGTATAATAATACATAAACAGAAATTAGTATTCATATAAACTTAAATTTAAAGAAACTGCATTGTTATAAATATTGCATGTATGTTATTTTATACATGAAAATATAGTTAATACATGAAAATGTAATGTAATGTTTAATATTGTTACAAACATAATGGATAAAATAAAAATTGTATCCAAAGAGACCAAAGAGACAATCTGGAATGCACATAAAAAATTATGTTCAGTTTTCAGAAGAAATACTTATGTTGCTCGTTTCTGTATAATTTTTCTTAATCAAATTTTAAGATATATTCAATATGACACGCACACGAATCATGATAAAGATACATGTATTACGATGAATAAAAATAATGACACCTATCTTGTGATAGAGTTACAGAAGAGAGTAAACGAGTACGATATCTACCTGAGAATCAGACAAGAATCTTTCGCTAGGTGGGCCAGAAAGGGAAACGTCGTAGCTGCCTGAATTCTTTCTTTTCCTCTTCTCATGATGAGACTGAAGGTTAGGCGAATCGCTATGTCTTACTCCAGTTTGCGTTTCTGGATCAGGTGACGGACACTTGTCCTCTGCCTTGTTATTTACACTATTACTATCGGTGAGGCCTCTGATCTGCAATGCCTCTGCTGTTTTAAGGAACATCGGTAGGAGATGCTGACTAACATTGACTTCGCCCTTATACATAAAGTGCAGCAACGCCTTCATTTCCGTATCATTGACATCCTTGAGGAATATGATTGGATGGGGGTGGGTGTTTTGCAGGAAAATGCTCTCGAAATACGGACTGCATGCAGAGAGTATGGTCTGGTGCGCCTTGAAGGTCTCTCCGACACAGGCCAGGGTAACGTCACAGAGTGCTTCTCTGGCAAGCAGCGAGCTGAGAACGTCTGTGAGGTTGGCTGGATGATTGTTCCACCGTAGACAATACTGCTGGTCCATCTTGTCTATCTCCAATCCCGACCCTACAACCAAACTAGTTGGCCAAAACTGTCTACATAAAAGCTATGCTATCACCCTGGCTATACCGAATTTTGTGTGATCCCCTAACCCTTAAAAATCGCTAAACTCACACACTTTCTCCACGCGCACTCTCCTATCGTCCTGACAATATCTCCCCGCAGATTAAATCGCGGCTCTCTAGACCCACACAACGTCCTCCGCGCTTCTGCAAATGTGCCACATTGCAGTATAACTGTAAAACCCTTCAGGGTTCACGCCGCGCTACTATACGTGCAGAAAACATTTTTTCGCATAACCTTAACGGCCGGAATGAGGTAAGCCGCGCTCGAATTTCTAAGCGATGGGCCACGGCCATGGGCCGCCCGCGAGGTTAGATCGCTAATTGCGACGCAGTACGTACCACCCACGTATACGATTATAATCCGATATATTCGGAGGTGATGTTTTTGGCAATGTCAATATTCGCGTGGCTTGGGCGCCATTGTCGGCCGTGCTCGTCTAGCCTCCACGAGCCTCCTCGCGAAAAGACGATTTGTTGATGCCCGATTTTCTAGCCACTCGTACAACCTTAACTCGCGCCGCTTTATTTACGCGGATCCTACGCAGGTTACGCCGTCGCGTATCACTCACCGCGAGATACCGCTTCTCGAATGTCTCCCGTACGTCGATTACTCACCTCTCGCAAACTTTTTGCCATTACAACGCCACCCGACCCTTAACGTCCACTGCCATACCAATCTGCCAATGCCTACGGCCTTATTTTTAAAATACTTTTGACCTTCGTGCATCTGCCGCGGGGAATGGCGCGAAGGGCGCTCGGATTCAAACGCGGTTGAACGTACGCCGCGTCTTCTTTCCGACTGCGTGCGGGATCCGGCGGCCCGCCGATGCGCCCCGATTACGCGGCCTGTCCCATGCGAAATATATCGCAGCCGGAATATAGAGAATTCGCGCGGCGCTCGTCGAGTCGTCGCCATATCGATCTCTACCAGTGCCGGCCTTCTTATTTTCCAAATAACGCACGCTTTCATTACGTCAGTCGCGCGATATGGCGCGTCAACGCGCACTATTCAAACGCGACCGAATCGTTTTTCACGATTGTCGTTCATTCATTCATTTATTTACGTCTCTAAAAATGGGACTGACCAATTGATCAGAATTTTATCAATTAATTTTATCAATTAAGGGAATAATGTCTGTAACAAGTCAGATTTTACTTATTAACGTAATTGAATAATGAAAGGACTCTCAATTATGCCGCAATTCAAGAATATTATCCTTCATTTTTTTAAATTTATTATATAGTCGTATTTTTTTTATTCCACACTGACAGAAAAATGTATTAAATTTTAATAAATATCTATCTAAATATTTATCAAATGCCTGTTAAATATTCACTAAATGTAAACGTATATTTATTCGGTACAAGAACAATTAATTTAAATAAAAATAAATTTGAGATTAGTATAATTTAAACAATTATTTATTAAAATTAAGTACTTTCTCTCAATGTATAAATTAACAAAATAGCTTGTATTATTTATAAATTCGTCAAAATAAAATTCTTTTAATGGTGACAAATGGTGATTATTGAAAAACTATTAATGCCTGTGTTTATTATCAATAAACCATTGCGCGAGAAGTGGTTTATATTTTATATTAAAATTTAGACAAAATTATTAAAACAATGTCATTTTTTTACCGAATTATTTACCGTAAGTTGACAATAATTTAACTTTTTTGAAAAATAATTTAATTATTTTTGATTTCTTTAATAATAAATTATAAATCAAATCATGATTTCTCAAATCAATGTAAGAGATAGGACTTTAGCAGCGTACAATCCAAGATGTAAATAAAGCGGTTGCTTCAAAGCTAATGCATTTTCAAGTGACTCCGAAGTAACTAAATTTCGTCTATTCTCTCACACCATAGTCCGGTCAATTCAATTCAATTTAACGTACATGTTCATTAAAAAACTTAGTTTACGAAAATGAGTTAACAGTTAACTGATATCCAAAGAAGAAAGAAATAAAATTCACCTTTTTCAATTATTTGTACCTTTCCTTTTTATTATTATTTTTTAATTAATAATATCTTCAGTAATATTATATATACATATAGATATATCTTCTTAATGAAAACTAATTTTTTAAAATATGTATAATACAATCAAT